GGGAGGGGGAGGCGGGCGCCGGCGGCGGAGCGCAGCACGATGGTCCCGTTGTGCGTGCCGCGTGGCGACTCCTACACACTCGTGAGGAGGGACTCAGCCGCGACTGGCGGGCTCTCCACTGCGCGAGCCGCCGTGACTCCTTCCAGAGGCCGAGCGGCGTGGCGAGAGAGCGGTAGGTCTCGCGCCTAGTCTCGGGGGGCGATCTCGGGTCGATCTCGGGCCGGGTCGCCCCCTCCCCCGTGGCGAGGGGCGGATTGAGCGCGTGTACGCGACGACGGTCGTGGTGCCCGCGCCGAGCGCCTCGAGCCACTGCCTCGCGGCCGGGGCATCGCCCGAGCTCTTCGACCAGAAGGACCCGCCGCCCGCCTGCATTAGACAGAGAGCGGTCGACGCAGGGACAGATCTCTCCCACCGGAAGGACCCGCCGCCCGCCTGCAGCTTTCCCTGCCCCGCCACGGGCGTGCTCCAAAAGTCGGACGCCTCCCGCCAGGCGGTGATGTGCGCCGGAGGGGCAAAGAGCGCCTGGGCGGGTGGGACCGCTGCTGATGGTCGCCGATGGGACGACTGGCGGTGTGCGCCGGCGGGCGACGCGCTCCTTGACAGCGTCGTCGTACGCTGGCCGTAGCAGGTGGTGCAGGTCGCCTGGTGCGGTGCTCTGCGGCGTTAGACTGCCCCCCTCCGTCGGGCGAGCATGGCGGTGGCAGACTGGTCGCCGAAGCTGCCGACGCCGTGCTCCGCGAAGCCGAACGCCTCGAACGGGCGGTTGTCCTTGACGTTGGTGCCTCGCTTCGACGCGTGCCGTGTGCGTGGCACCTCAGGCCGGAGGCACTCCCTGCCGCGCGAGGTGGACGAGAGCCGCATCCAGTGGTCCCACCTGCCGGGGAGATTTGGGGAGATGTGGGGAGATATGGGTGGCCCCAGCTGCCGGGGGCCAGGGCTAGGGCCTAGGGCTAGGGTCTTAGAGCCCCTTCCGGTGTCCGACCTCCTCCTGCCCCTCCTCTGCCCCCCACGCCTCCTCCTCCCCACCACCACCACCCCACGGACCTGCCCCACACTCGGACCAGTGCTGGCTGGTTGCCAACTCACGCTACTCGACTGCTACTCGCCGCGCCCCGTCGTCGCCGCCTCGGGCCAGTGCGGCGCGAGCTCGTCGTTCCACGTGTCGCCGGTCACCATCCAGCCCAAGCCTGTTGGGAGGCCCCGAGAAGGCTCAGGCAGGGCTCCACGTCTCGCGGCTCGCCGCCCAGCCACGCGGCCTGGGAAGTAGTCTGTCCGACCGATCGCCTCGCTCCGCGCCGCAACGTGCGGGTACCCTTGGTCGTTCCACGCAGACACGCACCAGAGCGTGCGGTCCCTCCGCAGCAGCCACGCAGAGGACCTAGACTCGGCTCGGCTCGGCTCACCCCGACCCGCCTCGCGGTCCCGCCGCCGCGGCAGGCCGCAGCGGCGCGCCAGAAGAAGAGGAGCGTGTCGGGCGAGAGGAGCAGGTCATCCTCGAGCACCTGGGCCGTGGCTAGGACGGTTCTCGGAAGGCTCGTGGAAGGCTCCAGCAGCGTCTTCCTCGATCACCACGGCGTGCGAGTGGCCGCGACCCGTCGGAGGAGCGCCCAGCACCGCCTGCGGCACCGCCCCCCCCGAGCTCAAGTCACCGCCGCCACGTCCCGCGGGCAAGGGAGGGAGGGGCCAGGGAGGGAGGGGCCTGGGAGGGAGGGGCCAGGGAGGGAGGGGCCAGGGAGGGAAGGGCGCCTGCAGCGCCGCCTTGAAGTGGCGCGAGATCTTGGCGTAGCCGGAGCCTAAGCTCGGGCCTCCTCGGCTCATCTCGCTGCGAGCGCGTGTCCGCAACGCGTCGCGCTCGAGACACGAGCCCGCAAACGCCGGCTGGAAGCGCTGCTTTGGCGGCTGGTGGTAGCGGAGGACGTCGCGGACGCATGCCGCCGCCTTGGCCGCCGCCGCGATCTCGGCGCGGCCCGCGTCCTCCGACACGTACACCGCAAAGTGGCGCGCCTAGTAGGGGCATGTCCCACGGCTCCGCCCAAGGCCTGCTCCTCTGCGCCTCTGGTGCAGCGGGGCGCGCACCATCCGCATGGGGCAGACGAGGCCGAGCGAGCGGGAGAGCATGTCCGCCCGGTCGTGCGACATGATGAC